AGGCCCATGGACAGCACCGAGTTCTGCGCGACTACCACGAAGCATTGCCAGATATCACGTCGGCTAGGCTGTCTGGGTGCTGGTTGCAATTTGTGCCGTTGCGAGAAGGACGGGAACCAGGCATCTAAGGAGAGGTAGCAGAGAGATGGAAGCCAAAAGGAGATGACTTGGATCAGCACTGTGCCAACAAATTCAATTGCCTGCGGAGGATACGAGGCGACAATTTCTTTCCACATGCTTTCCATATTGAAGATTTCGAGGATAATGGTTCCGCTGCTAAACAGAAGCGAATCCGGGAAGCTTGTGGCAGATGGAAGGACGTAGTGAGAATGTAGTCTGATGATCAGAGAGATTCTCGACAAGTTCTATCTATAATGCATGGTTTATATCACATCTGTGAATGTAATATCATATGAGAATCTGGAGATGTCAAGGTGTTGCCTCGGTAAGCTTCAACATCATATGGACGAAGATCCACATTGATCCCCGCACGTCTGGGGTTCCTGCGATAGCCGAACACGATCAACAACCCGCATCCAAATAAACACAATAGATACTAATGAGTTCATCTGTTCCTGAGGACAACACTCCAGTCTGCCACTTTATACTGCGATTGTTAAGTCAAAAGGACATGCTGGTCAGGCGTTCATGGGAAGAAAGCGCCAGCACGTGTTCGTGTTGCTCCTTAACAGCAGCTTCCATATGCAGGTAGTTCTGCTCTTTCCATAGCTACTGTTGCAAAATGTCCTCTATACCTCGTTCCAGCAAAAGGCTGGAATTGTTCCTCAATCACGCCAACACTGCTCGCGCTTTGAAACACAAACTGCTTCACAGCTTATCCTTCCAAAGTCATCTTTTCAAGAACCTCGCTTTTGAAAGATAACAATCGATAAAGGTATGACAGTCGCGTTGCCTGGCGAGCGGAGACTTCTGACCGTTACTCGCAGATGCATCTTATGGCTTTCATGTTCAGCTGCCTTATGCTGGTAGTCAGCGCCAGGGCCCAATATGAAAAGCTATTCACAAGTGGGCCAGCTTTTGTCAACTTCCCGTACCCCACGATTCCACTCAATTGTTCCGAGATTGGCCCATCAGGCTCGCCTCTGGGTGTTGACCACATGAAAGATGGAGCAGGATTCTTTCCGGCTCTGGAATGGCCTTCTCCGGCCGGGAATATCCGAGAATACCTTCTTGTGGCCGAGGACCCTGATGCTCCTCTTCCCCATGCGGTCGTCCACGGGCTATACTACGGAATCCCACGCGTTTTCACCGGACTCGAGCACGACGACTTCCAAGTGAGCAGAACGCACAATGACTCATATATGCTCGAAGGCGGATTCAAGTACGGGCAGAACAGAGGCAATACTGTGTATCTTCCGCCCAAATCAAACCCGGAAGATGGTCCCCATCGTTATTTCTTCGAGCTCATTGCACTGAGTGCACCGATCGATCGAAGCAGGCTGAGCGACAGGGCGACCCTGAGGGAGGTTGCCGATGCCATCTATGGCAGGGTTGTCGGATGGGGAGCCTGGGTGGGCATAGTCAATAATAACCGTATTTCGATCGTGAGGAATGGTTCATAGAGTGTCTGGTTTGGCTGTGGTTTGAGATTCCCGGAGGACATGCTCCTATATTGAAGATTGGCAGTGACAGCACATATTACTGTCTGTGTCCTTGAAGCCGTTCTATGATTGTCTGCTTTCTAATTATGCCTTTTGTCAACTCATGCTCTATTGTTAGACCAATCATTACAAAAGTCTAGCAACATCAAGAACCTTAGAATTGTCAGCTGCGTACTATTGTTCAAAAGTCGACGAGCTCAAGACTCACATTAGAGCGCTCTTGTCGACTGGATCAACCTCATAATAGTGCTGCTAGATTTTGGTCCTAGACTTAAATAGGGATATTTATAGAAAGTAGTATGTTTTGGCAAAAATAGTGCCAGTGTCTCAGATTATTTAGAGAGAGAACGGCCCCTTATGGCGGGTTATGAGCATCCACCAAAAAGGTAGAGGGACGTCTTGGCATTCTGCATAATACCGAGGACGATCTCATCAGACGACATAAGTAGCGGGTTGCACTAGTTAATTGCTTGTGCTGATGGCCTGCAGACTGCAGAGGTACAAGTTGAACATTGGGCTAATCAACTGTGTAGCAATAATAATGGTAGAGCAATAACTCCGCTAATCTGACACCCGAAAACAACCTGGCGATTCTCAGTCCAGTAGGGATCATCGAGCGCGTAGCTCCACTCAGCCAAGCCACAGCCGCAAAAATAGGTACTTAGCAGGTCGGGATTCTGTTGGAACCACGCAAGTTACAACTTGTCCTAATGCGGCATCAAGCGGATGAGCTGCCTTATCCGGATCATGGTTGGTAGGAGAGGCAACCACACGATTCAGGTTCAACATTACATGATCCAGGGATTCTTTGCCCTGCTTTTCCTGGCCTGGGATTTTCCATTCCACTTAAAGTCTGATGGTTTTAATGGCGTCTTAGTTGCACTCTATCACAATAAATGCAGTCGCGTATGTCTGGTAGATATTGATGGCTATCAAATCTTGCGTAATCCTGATCTCATGCTTGTGTCCTGTTTGATTGGCCGTGAGAGGCTCGGTGATGTCGCATCCGAAACCGAATCTTTGACGAACTTTGTGTTACGGATTAGGCCGACTCCTAACTTGGAACTGGATGTGTTGGCCCTTTTTCCCCTCCCCTTTCCCTGGTTTCATTCTTAGTCTCTAGTGTCCATTGTTGTTCAATAACCATGTTCGCTCTGAGACATAAAAATAATAAACATGAGCAATATTATCCAAACAACTTGGGTAGATGGACTTTTCAGCTATCCGAAGCATGATAAATGCTGAGAGATAAGGCTGTTTTCAGAAGCTGATGCGTACTATTGACAGCAACGGAGGTTAATTTTCCAGACGCACAAGCAAGGAATGGATTTCAGTGGTTTATTGTCGGATGAGAAACAGTTGTACTCTGTAGCATTGCCACCTTCTATTATTACTGCTAGGTAGCTGCCTTTGTTTTTGCTGATGTCTTTTTTTGGTGGTACAAGTCCGAGTCCTTCTCGGTTTCCACGGCTGATCCACAGATAGTGCCAAGGCGCAAGGTCCTGATTGGTCAGTTATCTATGCTCGCACTGAAAGCAAAGCCGAAACAAACGACTTTTGGAGTCACTAAGTAGCTACTAGCCTTAGGCCTTCACTAGTCTAGGTTTTTTTCTACAGTTACGTATCATGCATCCTCAGGCCCCCCAAAACCGGGAACAAACAAAAAGACCCGAACACCTTCTGGGGGGGCTCCTCCTCTTCTTTTCTTGCATATAATCTTCTTTTCATCGCAAAATTGGTGTCCACCTTGCTGCAAGTGCTATTCGTCAAGCAACTTGGCTGACGCCTACCGGTTGCTAATCATTGGAGCTGATAATCATTCGTCTCACAGCATCGCATCTCGCATCATCTCATCCTACTGCTGAGTCAGACAATCTTCTGCACTTCAATCTCAATTCTCCTCCCCATCCTCCACCCACTGCGAGGTCCCTCGAGTCCGTACATTACTCATCATGAACCGCTTAATTCGCTTGCTTTTTGTCTCTCTGGCTGCGTCATCAGCTATCGCAGCTCCAGCTCCCGAGCAGTCCGAGCGAGTGCCGGCCATTAGAGAGAATACCTTCTCTGAGAACCTCAAAAACATCAATGAAAACTCGATTCACAGAGCTCTGCATCTCATAGAGCGATTTCGCCATGGGGTCTTCCCCACTGACAGAGACGCCATTGATGCCATCCAGAAAGAGGACCGGTCACTGGCAGCACATCTGAACCTCGCAAGAGACATCGGCAACAACGCCACCTCGTCTTCGCCCAATCCTCCTGCTACGACCCAGCCGCCTTCGAGCACTACTCAGCAGACCACTTCGGAAACGCCTACCACCACCGAGTCACATACAACGACTTCTAACCCCACTCCTACCAATACTGAGACGCAGCCTACTACTACAACCACCACAAGCGAGACCACGACGTCGACTACTCAGAGCACTCCTCCCCCCACCACCGCTGGTCCCACCACTACCACGTCGACTACCAGCTCGCAAACCGGCACAACTCTGACAACTACCTCCTCCACAACCGAGGGTTCAACCACTAGCAAGCATTCCACCACCCGTACCCCCTACACGTCGACCTACAAGAGTACCACCACTCTCCCCAATGGCCAGCAGAGCACCGTCACAGCTGTGACGGTCGTCTACCCCACGGGGGACAGCTCCACCCAAGGCGCTACAACCACCGGTCCGCCCCCCGGCCTGCAAACCGGCAATGCCGCATCTATCACTGGTCTTCAGAAGGAGCTGCTTGTCATGCTTGGAGGCGCTGCCGCCGTGGCCATGGCTCTCTAGACAGCCGGACAAATTGGCAGTGTCACCTTGAACCCAAAATCATCCTGTTAAGCCGAATATTCTGGTTTTACGGTTGTGCTCACAGTTTGCGTTTTATTGCATCTGATGGCGTATATTTTTTGTTTCGACTTTACGACATGACTCCGACCTTTTACGATCCTTTGCATGGTCTCTGGCGTCCCACTGTTGTCTCTCTTTTTGAATATGTGGTCCATATGGTTATACCGGCGGGTTATTCTTGTTAATACCTTGTTTTTTTAGCGGATCATGTCTCTCCTTATCATTGCCAGGACATGGTGATTCTGTCTTGTCCATAAACGTGCATATTTTGCAAAGCAGTTGCGTCTGAAGATGGGTGTCTCATCTAGTTCGATAGTTCATATCAGTGAATAATTACATCTCCTCGAGGAAACCCCTTCCGGTCTCGCTAGACATGTAGACAAGCATCGAAAGAAAAAAAACAGGTATATGCAACTGCAGATCCGTCGGGTATGTAAATGTGTATACGTAACAGATATATCGACCGCTCTTCAAAAAATTATCAAGAAATGACTGGTATTTACCCCTCATCGCCCCCTTCGAGCGTTTCGACTCATCGACTAACAGTCCCCTGCCCCTGCCATCTCTCCTCCTCAGTCCAATATCGAACGATACTCTCCCACGCCGGGATATCCCCGTCGCGCAGTAGCGCCGCCACATCGACGTTCAGCGGCGAATCCGGCCGCGGGTCAGTGAGCAACTGGTGGATGGCTGTTAACGTCGTCGAGAGTGTGTAGACGGGGCTCCAGTGCTCGGTCGTTAGGAGCGTGAGACATATCTCGCCCGTTGTGAAGGAGATATTGGGGTGGGAGATGCGAGTCGTGAAGTGGATTTTTGGCGGCGCGAGGGGGTAGTTCGGTGGGATGGCGATTTTGAGACCCCAGAGGCCGCCTGAAATACCCGTATGCGTTAGTACGGTTGAGTCAGAAATTAAGATGAAGTTATGTGGAAGGGAAGGCATGCGGTTGAGGATTGGGAGGGTAGATAGGGTCGGTCGGCGGACGGCGACCGGCGCCTGGATCGCGTAACCCACCTTCGTATGGTGTGCCTTTGACGCCCTTCAGGACTGCTTCCCAGTGTAAGAGATCATCTTCATCTACTGGACCTAGATGGAGCAAGGCCTCGTTCGGGGATTTGGTGTAGTCTTTCAGTTCGCGGAGGAGGCGTTGCGTCGTCGAGTTTGACGCCATAGCAGGCAGTCCAAGAATGTGGGAGCCGCGCGCGCAATCGATGGATCAATGAGATCAGGATTTTGAAGTGCCTTCTTCGGGGAGGATGTGGCCCCCGACCGTGATTCTGGAATTGAAATGAATGAAAGAGGGCGTGAGAAGTTTGAAGCAGCTCTGGGAGTAATTATTCGCCCAAAACGTCGATAGGATACTTACACCGAGGTTCAGCTCGCTGTGGCCGTGGGTCTTCCCCATGTTACTGACGAGTTCCGCGGTCTGGGCTTCCGTGGTCGGGGAAACCATGTGTAAGCAGCTAAGCACCAACTGCTAAAATTTCGCCCCTTTGTATGGGGATCTTCACAGTATTCATATGAAGCTCTTATCCACACGAGAAAACATAATCAAATTCATCTACGAAACTAGACAATCAACAATGCGTACTTCGCGCACTTCCAAAGAGACGGCAAGTTTTCTGCAGGCTCTCTCGCCTCCTACGCGACGCCAAACGCGTAGTTCGTCAAGGACAAATGTCCTTCAGCGCTTTGCTTTCAATGGTAGCGCAAATGGCCATGCTGAGACTGCGCCTACGATGACGGAAGCGCAGTTCCAGCAGGATGACGGTGACGATACTTCGTCGCTCTCATCAGCTGATACTGTGGACATCGAGGATATCTTGGAACCCCCTTTGAAAAAGAGAAAGAGTAGCCCGAGCAGCCCGTCCACCAAGAGAACGACACGAGCACCCGGTAGGACCGTTACAAAAGGCGAGGCCGTCAAGGTGGAGCCTGCGAAACCAAAATCACGTCGTGTACCAGCCCGCAAGATCAAGGGCAATGATGGTTCAATCAAGATAGAACCGCCATCGAACTGGGAGACCATCTATTCCATGGTCAAGAAAATGCGGGAGAACAACCCTACAGCTCCTGTGGATACCATGGGTTGCGCGGAACTCTACTGGCGATCATCGTCTCCCAGAGACAAACGATTCCAGACCCTTGTTGCATTGATGTTATCGTCCCAGACCAAGGACACAGTGACAGCTGTGGCTATGCAGCGGTTACACACCGAGCTGGGGGACGGAAGAGCCCCAGCGGAAGATCCCATAATCAAGAAAGAAGAGCAAGAAGATATTGACCTCAAGTCATCACAGCCTCTGAGAGATAGCACTTTGAATCTTGAGAACATCCTGGCAGTCTCTCCTGAGAAACTCAACGAGCTAATCAGGACAGTTGGCTTCCATAACAACAAAACAAAGTATATCAAGGCAGCGGCTGAGATAATCCGAGATCAGTACAACTCGGATATACCCTCGTCCGCCGAGGAGCTCATGAAGCTTCCCGGCGTGGGGCCAAAGATGGCATATCTCTGCATGAGTGCTGCCTGGGGGAAGGACGAAGGAATTGGAGTTGATGTGCACGTTCACCGTATCACGAATCTTTGGGGGTGGCACAAAACCAAGACACCTGAGGAGACCCGCATGGCATTAGAGTCCTGGCTCCCTAGGGATAAATGGCATGAAATCAACAAGCTGCTTGTGGGCTTAGGACAGACAGTTTGCCTACCTGTTGGCCGGAGGTGTGGTGAGTGCGATCTTGCTGGGACAAAGCTGTGCAAGAGCGAAGTCAGAGGTCTTCTCTCAAAGAAGAGCGCAGGAGTGAAGCTCAAGGATGAAGTTATGAAGGATGATGACTCGATGTCTGGAGGAGCAAAGGTCAAGGTAGAGGGGGTGTGAAAGGCCCTGGTAGTGAATGCCCCAGGCATTGAATGCGAGCCTAGAATTTCCCCGTGATAGCGCGTCCCGGTACCGGGTGCAGTGTTTACATGTTTGGTCAAAGGAATCACTTCACTTAGCATCTTTCTTTCTTCTCCATCACGTTTATAGACAGCATCTGCCGCTTCTTGCTGCTCTTATGTGACGTGTTTTACCTGCCTATTTCATCCCATTGTTTCCATGACGGCTGATAATTAGTATCACGCTCCCTGGCCTTCGAGACGCGGAGCATCCTTCAGACTCATGGGTAAGGTCTAGCCTGCAATTCACTCGGAGCCTACTACCTTCCTAGATCAGCTTCTGACCTCTGCAGACGAGTCTCTTCTTCAGCGTCATCGCAACGGATCCCTGTTGGGACGGCTCGATCCTGATGAAGAGTCCTTCTTTGCATTATTCGAGTCGTTGAGTACGGTCAAATCATCATCTGAAAACCAAGGGTCTAGCTCCAAGGGTGGAGATAGGGAGAACGACACCACAAGCATGTCGGCTTCGAAGAAGGCTGGCAAGTCCCTTTGTCAACTTCCAGAAAAAGCCAAGCTTCGGATTCTGGAGTACATAGGACTAGTACGGCCTTGTTTGATCGATATAACGGCCGAGGCACACAGAGTCAAACAGGCTGCTGACCACACGTGCGACATGCGTAATCTTTTTCGTACACGCGGAAATTGGGCCACCCGCGCTGGTCGACTCTGTGATCATCCACGACTGCCGACAGACGTGCTCATGGTTTCTCGCGAGTTCCGGGAGGACCTGGGTGCCCTGTTTTGGGCGCACAATCGCTTTAGTTTCGTACTTACAAATTTGAACGACTGGGATTGCTTCTTTACTGCCATCGATTGGGCCGCAGAAGACGTGGGATATTTGCATATCGAAATGCGTACCTGGGACAATCGTTTCATCAAGCCTGGCGCTCAGCGCAATCTTCTGCGGCTGTGGTGTCGTTTCTGCCGCTACGCCGCTCAGCAAATGGTCAACCTCAGATATTTCAGCCTTAAGTGCAGAGTCAAGGACATGGCAGTGGCCCTCAAGATAATGTCTGCTATGGACCCATTTCCTGCCCTCTCTCAGTGTGCTTTTCATCTCAGTCACACCCCGGAAGAGGACATACGTCCCGTCGTCAAGAGAAATGCCCTGAGATTGACTGGCAATCTCGGAGAAAATCGTGCCTTTCCGTACTTTGATCTGCCTAAAGAAGTGCAGCTGATAATACTTGAATTCCTGTTGGTGAACCAGTTGGACCCCTACCTGCCACCTGGGGGCCGGGTATCAGGCATCGTATCGTTCATAGATCGCAAGTCTCTGCGTGTAAATGAGTCTCGCCCGCTCACCTGCTGCGGCACCTGCTCTCCGCTCCAGGCGGCGTGCTTCTGTCCTGTCCGTCAGACGGCGTACTCCACCACTTGCTCCTGTTTTTCGTCGCCTGTAAGGTACTTCCTTGTTAGTCGGGCATTTTATGAAGATGCGCGCCGAATCTTCTTTACCATGAATCGCTTCGCCTTTGTGGAGGAAGACCCCGATCTCATGATGGGCTTCATGAACAGTATTCCAACCTCGTCTTTCATGTTGATTCGCCATCTGGTCTTCAAATTCCCTGCGATGCATCGACACCCCGCAAAGCCTAGCCACAAGCCCCACGAAGACTCTGCCTTGGTGTCTTGGTCAGTGTTACGCCGCTTCATACGGGAGCATTTTGAACTTTCACGCCTCTCTCTCACCATCGTGGACTTGGGTACCAGGTCATCTAGTTGGCGTAATGCAACCCCACATCGGAATAAGTACGTGAGGAAGTTGCTCGAAACTTTTCAGGACCTGCAAGGACTTCGCGAGTTTCGCGTGTTTCTCGAAGATGATCAATCCTATGAGCTGACAGCGGAGCGACTTGTTATGGGGCATGCGGTTGTAAGAAGGCCTTTGGAGTTCAAATTTCCGTTTGTCGAAAATGGTCATTAAGAACGGCTTGTCTTCGATTTCTTGACTGGGTCTACTAAAGGTTAGGGTGAGAATCTCCAAAGCTCGGCATATCGTCCTTACTTTGGTCATATTTTCTCATCCTTGCTACCATTTGAGCGAATGTATCCAGGCCGGCGAGGTTAGAGACGTCTTATCGATTTGATTTGAAAGTAAAGCAAAATTCAATATTGTTGCCAAAATCTGTTCCACTCTTAATCATATCGATAAAATACATATGTAAACAGGAAATCTAAACTTTTGAAGTGCAACAAAATTGGGTTTTCCTGTGAAAGTTTTGTTTGCAAGCTGACGTGAGGTGAGTCAAAGACTAAAATGAAGTTAAGAGAAGTGATTGCTTTTGCTGGAAGTGAAGATTCATTATCCAGATTTCAAACAAAGTGAAAGCGATATCTTTTGTTATTACATTCAGCCTTTCAATTACTGTCCAGCACCACCACCTCAGCCTCAGCCTCCCCAATACTTTCCACTGCAAGCATATCACCAGCGTTCACTCCGGTAACAAATGCACCATCGCCTTCTTCTAACACAGCATCTTCCCTTCCGTCTAGCCTGATTTTTGCTTTGCCCTGTTTAGTCATGGGCAGATGGATATATACATTCCTCTTCTTCTTCGAGGTGACTGCATCTCCTGCGCCAACATTCCATTTGAACGTCACGTTCGGCGCGATGATTCCAGCTCCCATTAGAAAGTCGGCGTGGATAGGAATCGTCTCTGGAATTTTGGGACGAGCTGCCTCTTCCTCTGCGGGGGTTGCATCTGGCCCTGCTGCCAACGGCGACAGGATGGGAACGAAGGCGTTCCGTTTAGCTTCTTCGCTGAACGACATCGTATGATACTGCGGTTTCAGCCCGTACTTCCAGGGCAGGACCCAGATTTGAAGGAAATGCACGGGTTTGCTCGATTCGTTCTGTTCAGAGTGCGCAATTCCTGATTGTCCGGTTAGGTTCTTCACCTCGAAAAATCATAATGCATCAGAAGCAGGTTCTTACCAGTTCCTCCAGTCGTGAATTGCACATCGCCCCTTCGCATACGGTAGAATTGCTTGCCCTGCGCGCCTTCCGCTCCCTTCTTGATCATGCTGTCTCGGTGTGTCAGCTCGCCGCTGAGAATGTAGCTGAAGATCTCTGCATCCCGGTGCGAATGTAGTGGGAATCCATTCCGAGCTGCGACGCGGTCTTCGTTCAGCACTCTCAGGCAACCGAAGTTGAGAAAGCGGTGGTCGGAGTAGTCGGCGAAGCTAAAGGTGTGGTATGTTTTCAGCCAGCCGCCATGCTCAGC